AGGCTCAGTGGCGGCGATAGAGATTTATTTTGGGGTGCTGTGGGCTAGCGTGATGTTTCATAGAGGGTGCTTGAACATTTAGGGTTTCCCATTAATGTACCGGTCGCTACAGTGGAATTTTCTACTGCAACACTCCCCACGCAAATACACAGTGTGACAGTTACAATGAAGGCTCGAGGCATATAGGTGTAAGGAGGGNTTAGCAGTAAGTAAGGGGTGGGAATTAATAAGCATTTGCTTCCTCCTGCTCCCTTTCGGACAAATATGATTTATTATTATTATTATTATTATGAATATTTTTGTTGAATATATAAATATTATTATGAATTGATAAATACTGTATTCTAACAATACGGTATTATTTTTTTCACATTTATTATTTTTTATTTTGTTTTTTTAAATCTGTTTGAAATAAAGATGGAAATGAAAATGAAATGAAAAGCATCAATCTGGTGCACTTTGAGAGCAAAATGAAGAGATCTATGGATACATCTCTCAACACCCATATGAAAGAGAACTGTAAACAGATTTACTTTTTCTTTATGGATATTTTACAAATCACCCTTTTAAACTTTATTCTTTTTTTACTGTCATATAGTATTTCATACCTGTTTTTCATTTATTCTCTTATTTTTATTAATTAACTTAACTNTTTTATGTCATATAGTATTTCATACCTGTTTTAACTTTTTTATTTATTCTCTTATTTTTTTATAACTATAATGATCATATAAACGTGTGCCTCGGAAATAATTGTTTACATTAATGTTGACCAAAACGTTTGAGACCCACTGAGATAACACTCAGAGAGTCACTGAGTCTCTCAGTCTGACAGGAGAGGACTCTCCTCCACTTTGTTGTTGAAAAAACTCCTTATATCCGTTAGCGTAGCTAGCTAGCACCAGAAGCTAACAACAACGATCTCCGGTACCGGTGCGCTCTCTCTCTCTCGCGCACGCATACAAAATGGCTAGTTTCACACACACACAGCCAAGCTTTAATGAAACACAGAGACCGAGACGTAATAGTACTGTATCATATTATTTTCGAATCAATAATTTTAGAAATTATGATTTTTAAAAAAAAAAAAAAATTTTTTTTTAAATAACCATTTCCCCCCCCCCTGTCATGCCTAATAGGGCGGCTTTAAAATGTTGTCTAGGCGGAATCGTAGTTTTGAATACACAGGAAGTTAGATGTGCTTATGTGGATACAAACCGTATGTATTGCCCTTTTCACCCTCCATTCAGGCAAAAAAAAAAACTCCAACTGTTGTGATTTGGACGTGTTAACAGTCTGAAATTTGTCATTGTTTTGGAACACAGGCCACGGTGACAGCAACAGCCGAAACATTCCTACCCTGGTTAAAGACATCAGCAATGTAGGCGAGGTGTCATGCGGGAGCTCCCATACTATCGCACTGTCAAAGGACGGACGCACTGTGTGGTCCTTTGGAGGAGGGGACAACGGTGGGTTAACCCTTCAACGTGACTTACATGTTAAATGTCATAACAAGTCTGTACATTTAAAATCAATTTTGAAATGTATCGTTTTTTGCATAAGAGCTTGCAATTTTGTATTTTATTGTCTTTAGATTTCAGTGTGTCAAATTGTTGCATATCAATACAGTGTGTGTTTATACTGATGCCCTCTAAAGAGAAACCATGTGTTTTCCTGCAGGAAAACTAGGTCATGGTGATACTAATCGAGTGTACAAGCCAAAAGTAGTGGAGGCCCTGCAAGGAATGTTCATTAGAAAAGTGTGCGCAGGAAGCCAGTCGTCTCTCGCCTTAACCTCTACAGGACAGGTAGGACATCGTTGTTTACCAAGACTGGTTTTTAGAGGAAAGGCTGAGGCTTGAAGTTCTTTAACATTTCTCACTTTGAGAGAATTTCATACAGCTGTTGATGCATTCCCTAGTGACAGCTGGTTGGCCAATAACAAGCAGTTCAGTTATCATTTCTGATTGTTTTCATTTATGACCGATCTTTAGTATTCTCTTGAGCATATTCAACTGTTCATTTTGTCTCTCAAAGATATACTCTTACTTTTTTCTGGAAAATCAGTTTTTCTCAGGAAAGGGGTAAAACAAATGCTTATGCTGATTCATTGTTTTTTTCCAGGTGTATGCTTGGGGCTGTGGTGCTTGCCTGGGGTGCGGCTCTTCCGAAGCCACAGCACTCCGACCCAAACTAATCGAGGAGCTGGCTACCACCCGGGTGGTGGACATCTCCATAGGGGACAGTCACTGCCTGGCCCTGTCGCATGGTAGTTGTCTCTTCCCTTTTTTCATGCCCTGTCTCTTTGTTGCATTGGTTTGGAACCACATTGGGTTTCATAAAAGTTTGAAAGAGGGTAGAAGTATAGCTTGGTAGTGCTTGGTAGAGCTTGCCGCAGATGTACTAGGGTTTGAATCTGACCCAGGACCATTTACTGTCTCCTCTTTCAACTCTGTCTCTCCAATGAAGGTGCTGGTTGCTAAAAACAGAACCGATGCAATAGCATGATTTAATAGCAAATAGACCATATTTGTTTAAGCTAATATTTAACCTTAGCGCACCTCATTATTATTCAATAATATTGTGCAGTGAAAAACAAAATCAATACAGCCATGTCTAATTTTGTGTTACTTTTCTGTTACTCAAACTCCATCCAGACAACGAAGTATATGCATGGGGCAACAACTCCATGGGTCAGTGTGGCCAGGGGAACTCCACAGGGCCGATCACCAAGCCCAAGAAGGTGGTGGGCCTGGACGGAGTCGCTATTCAGCAGATCTCAGCCGGCACCTCCCACAGCCTGGCGTGGACCGCGCTGCCCAGAGACAGGTCAGTTACAACACAGTAAACACACTGAGTGGAGCCAGAGTAACCGTGACGATAACCTGGGTTTTACAGGAATTATTCACATAGGAGGGAGTGAGGGTAAAGGCCAGTGCTGATGTCACAACAGCCCTTGATTACTTTGTTTTAAAGTTTTTGAGGTTGTTTAAAATAGGTCAAAGGTCAGTAACTGCATGTGAAATCTACAGCAGCTTTGTTTCCCTTCTGTGTTACAAATAACTCACGAGTGTGTTAGATTCTATTTTTCATTCAGAGAAATTGTGCTAAATAAGGTTAGATTAAGACATTTTGTATGAAACATTATTTAGTTACATTACGGGAATTGTAGGATCCAGCCCTTTTTAAGCTCAACCTATCGACAGATAAGATTTTGTTGCTTTGATTTTTTATTTGTAAATGCGCCTTCTGTTAGTCCCCTGACCTTATGGAAGTGTGATTTAAAATCACTGGACAACTGCTTTAGGAGCAAACTTATCACAATAGTTGACAAATGATTTGAACGATACAATTAATAATAATGGTGAGACATTAGGGAAATATTTCATACTCCATCCCCATATTGATGAGGAAGTACATTCACATTAAGGGAATTTGATTTGTAAAAGTTTTGTTACGGCTTCAATGTACAAAGTACTTATGAACTGATCCATTTAGGAAATGCTGTTTCCCTCCAGATTACATTTTTTCTATGTCAATTGAAGATAAACTCTGATTCCGTTAGAGCTCTACATGTAAAGTACTGAAGCACTTAAAGTCAATATTTACTCTCTCTGGCTCTCTAGGCAAGTGGTGGCTTGGCACAGGCCCTACTGTGTCGACCTCGAGGAAAGTACCTTTTCCCATTTGCGGTCCTTCCTAGAGCGATACTGTGACGGCATCAACAGTGAAGACCCCCCTCTTCCATTCCCCTCCTCCAGGTAAGTGCATGCACACAGCCTGCAAGTCACCATCAGTGCTAGTGACAGCTTTGTCAATTGGCACAGCTGTGATTGCCAAAGACCTTCGAAGAATTAGGAAAGGGGAGATTTACCCCGTTTTTTCTATTTGTTTTGGTAATGGCAAATGAAAACATAACTAGCCTGAACGTTTTAAATAAATGTATGCTTATATATTTGCAGGGAGCATCATAACTTCCTCAAACTGTGCCTTCGGCTTCTGTCCAATCATCTGGCTCTGGCTCTGGCTGGGGGCGTGGCCACCAGTATCCTAGGTCGGCAGGCCAGGCCCCTGAGGAACCTGCTCTTCAGGCTGATGGACTCCTCCGTGCCGGATGAGATTCAGGAGGTAGGAAAAAAGAACATGCACTGTTGGGCATGTTGGGAAAATTGTTCGCAGCCTCATACAGAGAATACGTCAAGGCACAAGAAATGTTCAGGAAAAAACATTGTCACTATGATATTTTATTTTCTGGGATAGCAAGAGTGGCGGTTCTCGAACATTTGACATGGGGTGGCAAAGGGGGGGCAAGAGGTCATGCCAGGGTGGCATGGGAGGGTGGGCAGTACGTGGTATGTTGTACTGTATATATAACCTATTTATTGTTAAATCATGCCCTAACACAAGTGTTCTTAATGCACAAGAGAAACAAGGTGTTCAAACAAACAAACTAACATATAGTATAAAACATCAGAAAATACTCATGACACCCTAGAATTCTGTTTACTGTAAGTACAGTAAGAGTACGTAGTTATAATTAAGTACACACATGACATCATCCATCTCTTAAGAGAGCTAAAGGTGACCTGTGCAGCAACACATTTCAATAAATATGTGTCAATACTAAGAGCCGCTAGATCAGGGGTGGCCAACCAGTCAGAGGTTAAGAGCCACATTTTTTCTATGTTACTGCAAAGAGCCACATCAAACACACAGTCACTGATACCGCTTGTTTCAGGTTTTTGTTTTCTGGAGATAAGATTTCAACCACGTCACTGATGCATTTTTGTGGCATTGGGATATATATTTTTAAAATCCTCTGGAGCAGAGAGAGGAGCTGTGGATTATTGTTATTGATTAATGCATCAGTATTTCTTAGGGTCAAAAACACCAAACTCACAACTTAAAATGAAAGCGTTTAGTTTATTTAATAAAAGAGCACATGTTCAATGTGAAAAGTGACAGTAGATATAGATTA